TATATATATATATATATTATATATATATATATATATATATATATATATATATATATATATATATATATATATATATATATATATATATATATATATATATATATATATATATATATATATATATATAGGCATATATATACATATCTATATATATGTGGTATCATTTTTATTGTAAATTGTTATTATGCTGACATCCGATTTACTGTGAAAGGTCAGGGGTTACGCATTGATCATTGAGTTGGAATTGCTGTATATACATACTGTGGATTGTTGTATAATTCGAGGCATTCTATCTTCTACATGATGAACTGTGGGTCGAAATTCGCTGTAAATTTAAGCAGCAGAGTGAGTATGTGCTAGACTACTAGCCAAAATTGGAGATCGAGCTAGTATCGTTTCTTTTGGTCATATTCTGACAATTGCACGTCTAAATGACTGTTTTGCGGCTTTGTTTGAGCTGTTTTAGACCTAGTTTACATCGTAGATCAAATGATTAACATAACATATTCTATATTGATATATGTCTGAAATTGTAACAACATCTTCGTACTGTCTGGTATGCTACACGCCTTCAACTCAGGCTTGTTAACAGTATCAGCAGAAGGCACATACGAACTCAATGCGGCGAATGAATTTTGTACAACACCTGCGTTTGTATTCACAGGGAGAGATATGAAAGCATCCGCAAGTTTTCTACTATCGGTATCAGCTCCCGAGAAAACCGAGCCACGCTCACCCAGAGCAAGCCCTCCTGCGATACGAGCTCATCGAGCATTGTCAGAAGCACGCAAGGATTCAATCCCAGGTATGAAAATACGCTAAGTTGGTAAGGCTCAAAATGTGCTGCAATATGTGTGTCCATATTTGCTCAGTATGTATAGTGGTAGATGATAATTTTGATTTTGTACACTAAAGGTACAAGCTCGATTTGCGGAGACAGTGTACCTGCTAAGCTCATTTGCTCTGAATTTCAGGTATATGCCAAAAGCTAAGGTACGACTACCTAGTATTTTATTAGTTCTAAAGAAACCAACAAGAACATATGCTACTCTCTAGAATTCAAAGTCGTACACAAGTATTGCAACAGCGTGTCGATGTATTAGTTGGTTGCAGGTACTATTATGTCTTTGTGTATTTGAAGGATGTCCTGTATTATAGTTTTTGACAACCAAGTTAGGCTATGTTATCGGGCTGTGAAATACTTTCCTCTGCTCGTTATACTAAAACAAATTATCCAGGAATGAGAGCCAAGCTTTCGCCGGACGCTGTAGAAACATTTGGAGAAAGCGCAGAAGAACAAATTATTCAGATGCTCAGAGACATCAGCATATATATATGCACAAGAGGTACGCATTTTGAGCTAACTTATTTATATGTTTGCTAGCATACAAAGTGTTAGACTTAAGCACTGATTCTAGAGGCACATATTCCGCGCTATGTTTTTGCTATGTTCAATGGTGGTATCAAGTAATAGCAGTTATAACCGAAATTGCATGAGGTTGGCAGAAGTCTTCCAATAATGACCTATTTGTATAAGTTTTTCTGCGCATACATATAACACGGTATACTTGTTTATTTTCGTTGATACTTTCATTGTAAGCGTCTGAGTCTGTTTCTGCGTGTAGTGACAGCGTCGTCTTTCTTTTGCACATCGTTTTAAGTTGTACATTTGTCTGGATGCCATCTAGCTTCTACTTTTGTAGCGTAAGTGTTGGCAAGTCTATCGACAGAATAGGCACGGGTGTGCCCTACTGCGATAAGTATAACTGACCATCAAAGGTATTGCAACTGAACAGATTTTTATTTGGACCTTTTCCAAACTGAAAGCGCATCCTCTCTGTATATATACATAGTGAAATGATCTAAGCTTTAAAAAACCCCTATCTGGGTTGCTGAACTCACAGCCAGAGAGTAAACAACGCTAGATGTAAGCTAGAATAAACACTTGAGTATGTGCACTTACTGCTTTTCAACCTGATACGCTCACAGAGGGACTCGCCAACGAGCAGCTCTTCAAGGAAGTAGCATCTAAGAAGAGCCTCATGACAAGTAAGTGCACACAGCCGTATGTTTTCTGTCTCTGTGCATGATAATGTGGCGACGATGGCGTCTTTCACAAAATCAATTGTTATTGATGGGAGTGAAGCCCGTTTCTAAAACAGACCCTGATGGCACAATTGGTGTAGCAATATCATGTCGTAACCAAAATCATTGGTGCCCATCCTAATTGTCGATGTCGATTTATGCTTGGAGTATGTTACAGGCCTGCGAGAATCAACTGTATAATTCGTGAATATTAGCACAGGCATGTGAACTCCCGCATAACTTTGCTGTGTAGAGAAGCGGAGATGAGCTTCAAATGTGGCATTTTTATAGCGTTGTGAGTGGCAATTAAAAACTAACACGGCTTGCTTGACTATGGAGGAGATGGTATAAGGCACCGCAGTTCTCATGGATATAATATGCGTTGCGATTCTCTGGCCATTAAATCACTCGTCAGTTAGAGATGCCGTTTACAAGTATATCTTCATTACTTCGCCTAATTAATCTCGTCCATACGTGTTTCTATCACATCACAGATCGTGCCGATGCCTGCGGCGAGAACGTCCTACTGAGTAAGACGTGTGTATTATGAATTTTGTTACTGGTGGCTATCTCTTAATTTTTGTTGATCACTTGAACGTGACTCTGAATCACATCCCCATCTTTGGTAGGTAATATTCATTCGAATCGAGGATCTACCCATAGCGCGTGAGTTGGGTTGTGCCAATACGCAATACTTATCTATGTCAGTCCGGTGTCACTCCTGTGGTTCGTCTCCTATAAATGTTTTGTCTATTGCCTTGTACCGATCAGTCCATTGGTTTTAATTTGATTTTCATACCCTAGATTTCGCAATCATACGACCGTATTTATTACTTGTCAACCTCGGATTGAGGTTTCCGCCACAGTTTGGACAAAGCTAGCGAACTACCTCTTACTCTTATATGTATCACTCTTTGTTTCAGCTACGCAAGTAAAAAGTTGGAAAGTCGATCAGGTTGCTGACTGGCTGGCGGGTACCGGATTGGGTAATTTCGCACCGCTGTTTAATGGTATGTACTTCTTGTTCCAGTCTGAAATATTATGTATTCACCACACAATGTACAACTCGAAATACGGGCATAATCATCGCAAACAAACCTGAGTCGTACATCGTGCCATAGAGCAAGATTAAGCTACCCTCCAACCTTACAATGATAAAATACCTATTCGTCAAATTAACCATCTCACTTACTAATAAATAGTTACGAGTTGAAGCGTCCTAAACTACACACCAATTCCTAAGTACACTGTGTTCTAACCTGAATGAAACTCAAACACGGCGCAGAGAACGAGATCGACGGTGAAGCTTTACTGGCTATAGATCACGACACACTGAAATCAATGGGAGTGACGGTGGCTGGAAAACGTGTCAAGATTATCAAACTAATTAAGACACTGAAAATGGTAATGAATGCACCAGTGGGTGTAGAATCTGGCGGCACGTAAAAGGAAGATCACTAAATTGTATTCAGCTAGGCTTGTCAACATATCCGACAATCGGCCGCAACGAAACAGTCGATCTGGTAAAGTAGATGTCGATCGAAAACTATATTTTACCGATTTTACACCAAATCTCATCGGACCCACGTATCCATTACACCCTCGAAATTCATGAAGGACTGCATTTCCACCACCTGCCACGTAACTTCAAACTCGATCACAGTAGCTTAAGCATTTGACCGTTACGACCAGCTGATAATTTTACCGCGTGATGGGAGCGACATCGATCGTCTCTTTCATAATATAAATAGAATCGTAAATTGGAGGGCAGTATCACGCGCTGCCGCTGTTGACAATGATGTTCTGTTCTCATTCTATGTGTCAACAGCTTATACTATCTGATAGTATGTGCATGGCAGCCAAATTCAGCTAAGTTCAACCGTTTGACTAAATACTTGACAAGTGAAGGCCGTACGAGTACAATCCAATGCAATGGGATTATATTGTCGCAGGATATCTGTCACAGATCGAGTGATACTGAACATGCAGTTCGAGTCCAGGAGTATGGAAGTAACTGATCTTTCTACTAGTAGTAGTAGGGTCCAAGTCTCTAGCGATAGGATATATACAGCAGGATTAAAAAAACGTCGAGGACTATTCCGCTAAATTGACTTCTGTGTATCTATGGCAAATGCGCATCTATTTATATTGTGATTCTATGGCATTCTGCTCTTTTAATGTAAAATTGTAAATATTGCTGTATATCTAAATGCTCACGATATAGTAAAGCGCGTACATCTATTGAAAGGTCAGATAGCTAACAGCTGTTATGACACTGCCCTCCAAGCCTCAAAAACACGTGGACAAATCGGACTCTAAGTTAGAAACCTACCATCGAGATATTCTGCTATGTACTGGAATTAGGTGATTGTATTTAAAGACAGTATCCGATTATATAATCATCGATGCCGTAATCATCGATGCCGTAAGGACAACAGCGAGATAAATACGTACGGGGGCAAATCCTCACAATTATACAGCAAATATGTCGACTATGGACGAGTGTAAAACCAAGGGCAACGAATATTATACCGAAGCCGATTTCAAGAATGCGGTGAAGTATTATACAAAAGCTCTTGCTTTGACGGACGACAACCAGGTTAGTCTTAGGCCTTATTTTGTGTGGAAGTCACAGTGCAAACAGTACCTAATAAGTACAGTTCAAAGGCTGTATGCCTGCGAAAGATGAAACCGGATCTTACAAAATGATAGCAGTTGTGGTATAGTCTGCAAGTATTCAGATGCACATATTGCGTTGCATTGTCGAAAAGACCTTTGTTTTTACCCGTATTGCCGGTCAGGTACAGTACATTCGAGAACCTTCCTTCGATGATGTCTTTTATAGTACATAGTGACACAAATACGCATAAGTGTATGTACTAGTATTCCTACTGAAAGAGTTATAGTGTGATACAGTGTCAGAACTAATTTAAAAGATATATATCAGTATATCATCATATAATATATATATAAATATATATATATATATATATATATATATACGTACACACACATATATATATATACAAACACACACACGCACATACACACAC